GCATTGATGCATTTGAGCTCGAAAGTAATTGAGAAATTTCCGTAAAAGCTCTACGCAGATTTCACCTCTGCATGACGATGACAATATTGACAGATTGCATATGAAATTCATCAAAATGAGCGTTAAAATACTGTTTTCATAAAACATGCAAAACAACCCTCCAATACCATCTTCGAATTGTTTAGGGAAACGTCAGTTCGGTGAGACTGATGTGTGAGCGTGTAGGTAAAAATGGCTGAAGTTTTGACTGAAAGTGATTTATACACAGCAAAAAATTCTGAATTTTACTAGTGATGTAAACTTCCATGATTGCAAACGTAAATGAAACTTTCTTTTCACGTAAACTAGCAACTTGCAAGTAATGTTGCTTATAAAGATGAACGGATGCATACAATTTATGAAATATCTCGTGACATTTACACGATTTATAATGTAAACTTGAATGATATATAACGTTCCATTTATGTGCGTCATAACAACATACATTTACACTACTTTTTCTAGCTGAGTAGTGTAATGTTTACATCGGCAAAGATTCATCAAAATCGGATGAATTGTTACAGCGATGGCTTCGGAACAAGAAAAAGCGCAAACAAATTGTGGACACGCACTTCAAAAGTCCAAACGCCTCTCATCTACATCGGTAAACAGCAACTCGCGCAACGAAGCTGTACAGGAAGTAGCGCACAAACCCGTTCTGCATTGTGATGGACGATGAGACCTACATCAAGGTCGACACCAGATGAATATCGGGACAGGAATACCTGTAAGTTGGCCCAGGTTTCAATGGCGACAAGATGGTGCATCCCTCCCTCCAAAGGAAAGTGAACCATCGCTGTACACCTTTGCGGAAATGTGAAGTATTTTCACAGAGATGCACAACATGATGAAAAGGTGCAAAACCCGCGACGACCAGATTCAGGTCATGGGCTATCTTCTGTAAATTATGGGGTCAAATGAGCCCCGCAACATGCACTTTGCAAATTGGAATGCTTGCTCAATCCGAGCAAAAAAGACCGAGCTGACCTGAATGAACACAACATTGACGTCGGTATCTTTACCGAGACCCATCTCAAACCAGAAGATAACCTTGCCATACCTGATTTTCGATTGTTCAGACTCGATCGCACCAGCTCCAGAGGGGCAGGGGTAGCGATTGCCACTAGAAGGAACATATGCTGCCGCCTGCAGCCAAGTTTTCATCTTCAAGTCATCGAAACCATCGGTGTGGAAGTTTCCACTTGTGTTGTTGTCCCAAGCAAGTCAACATAAACGACGGGTCGGCATCAAAACTGCGACAGGACATCATGAAATTAACTTGGCGGCAGAGCAAGTACATTATCGCCGGGGACCTCAACGCGAAACACCAAGCCTGGGGAAATAGCAGAAACAACAGAAAAGACATTATCTTAAACGACAACGTTGAAGAAGGTCACTACAACATCTTGAGCCCGGATTCTCCCACCCGGTTGAGTCGATCCGGAGCTCATTCAAGCATCGATTCCTGCATCTCCAATTTGGCCAACATCTCTAGACCAGTCGTCGTTCAAGAGCTCAGCTCCGACCACTATCCGGTGGTGGCTGTGGTGGGATCCAACGGTAACCGATTTCAAGCTTTCCGGCGCAACTATCATCGTGCTAACTGGGGTCAGTTCCAACACTGCGTCGACACCGCTGTAGACTACGATGTCCAACCGGAATCGTTCGAAGACGTTGACTGGTGTCTGCGCTCCATCGATGAAGCAATTTCCCGGGCCAGGGAGCTACGTGTGCCAGTATCCAGACCTTGACAGGCACACTAAAGACCTCATTAGATTCCGCAACACGATTCGTAGGCAGTACCAGCGTACTGGTCTGCCTATCCTGAAGACCAATTGCAACCGTTTGAACAAAATCATCCAAGCCAGGATGGTGGATCTCAGATATGCGGACTATGCAAACAAAATTCACTCTCTCCCAGATGGTGCTAAGCCATTCTGGAGAATGGCAAAGATTTTGAAAAATAAGCCAAGGCCTATTCCTCCCCTTTCCTCTCCTAACCAAAATTCGGATCCATCTGGCAACACTTTGTGAATTCACATAACCTTGGCCACGCCATGGTGAGTCCTCACGAGCCTGCAGTATCAGAGGCAATGTCTAGAGTCGCTGCCACCCCCGTAGTTGTCCCTGACGAAAGTAGAATATCGGTTGATGAGGTAATAGCAGCGATTAAATCAACCAAGAACATGAAGGCCGCTGGTGTCGATGGAGTGGTCAACTTCGAGTTGAAAAACTTGAGTGTTGACTTCTTCAAGCACCTTGCAGTGGTCTTCAATAAGTTTTTGATGCTTGGCTACTTCCCTGCATACTGGAAGTTAGCCAAAGTCATTCCAATTCACAAGCCTGGCAAAGATCCTACCAGTGCCAAAAGCTCTTGTCCTCCATGTCGAAGCTATTCGAAAAACTGATCCTCAGCCGTCTGCTGGTGTTTTCAAATGATGATAAAATCTTTCTCAAAGAGCAATTCGTGTTTAGGAAAGGCCACTCTACCATCCACCAACTCGCACGGGTTACTAACATCATCAAGCGGAACAAGTCTGTTTTCAATACATCTACCATGGCATTGTTGGACGTTGAGAAGGCGTTCGACAATGTCTGGCATGATGGTCTAGTATACAAGCTGCATAGATACAACTTCCCGATCTTCCTTGTAAAAATCATCAAAAACTACAAACATTCCTGGTCTTCTTGAACAATTCTCCTTCTGATACGTTCAACGCTGATGCTGGGGTTCCCCAGCGTAGCCTCTTTGGTCCTATCCTCTTCAATATCTTCACGTCAGATGTTCCTCCCCTTCCGAGTGGTGGTATTTTGTTAATGTTTGCGGATGACACTGCCATCATCTATAAGGGTCGAGTGATCCGTGCTCTGACGAGAAAACTCCAATCAGGCCTGGATGTTCTGTCCGACTATTTCAAAAGCTGGAAGATTTGTATCAATGCAGCTGAAACACAGACCATATTATTTCCGCACTCCAACTCACCTTGGCTTGTTCCGCCTGGTAACTCAAAAGTCCACCTTGATAACACTCCCATTGAATGGTCGAGTGAAGTCATCTACCTTGGTTTCACTCTTGACAGCAAGTTGCTATTCCGGTCCCATGTCGACAAAACATCCACCAAGTGCAACATCTTTATTAGGTCACCCTTTCCCCTAAAAATAAGCTTGACGTCCACAAGCAAATCTTCCTCCCCACCATTGAGTACGGAACGCCAATCTGGGAGAGTTGTGCTATGTGCCATCACTTCAAACTCCAAAGGATACAGAACAAGATCCTTAGGATGATCCTAAACAGTCCTCGACGGACCCGAAATTCTGAGGTCCACAGCCTGGCTGGCCTTCAGCCTCTCGAAGAACGACGAACGGTCTCCTTGGAAAGGTTCAGAGACACCTGTCTGAGATCAGGCCTACTACTACTACTACTACTACTACTACTACTACTACTACTACTACTACTACTACTACTACTACTACTACTACTACTACTACTACTACTACTACTACTACTACTACTACTACTACTACTACTACTACTACTACTACTACTACTACTACTACTACTACTACTACTACTACTACTACTACTACTAAATCTACAAAGATCAATGTCTCCGAAAGCGACTTCTGCCCTGATTGAGGCCCGACACTGTTTTGGCCGGATTTGGCATCTTGCCACTATGTCCGACCAGTGTTAGACTGGTACAAAATCAATAATGTTGTTTTTGTACCAAAAGAGGTCAACCCTCCAAACACTCCGGAACTTCGCCCTATAGAGAAATTTTGGGCCATCATAAAGGCAAACCTTCGTAAAACCCCAAAAGTGAATGAAATTGAACTTGAATTAAAGAATGTGTGGTTGAAAGTGTCTAAACAAGTCGGCCCTACTATTGCCCGAAACCTGATGAAAGGGATCAAAGCAAACGTATGGGCGTTTGGGTTGGGAGAGGAGGTTCATGAAAGCAATTATGTCAAAACAACCAAGTAAATACCATAGGAATTTCAATTTCAGAAAGTTTGAAGAGAATCGGATTTGAGGAAATTTTTTGGCGACCAATTTTGTATGTCCATTTTTTTCGAATACAGTCTTGAGGATTCCATTTGTCATAAGCTTCCCAATAAAAAAAATATTCAAAAAAATATTGTAGCAAGTAATTTTTTGTTATTCATTTTTGTGTTTTTTACCCAACATAACTTGAACATTTTAGCAGGTATATTTTTTTGTGAAAGGGAATTAGTTTTCCTACAGTTTTGTCTCTACCGTCATTTCGATTGGAAGTGACGGTATCATGTTATGATTTGTTTGAAAAATATCGCCATTTTGTGGGAATCGAGAAGAACTAATCACATTAAGGCGCTTGTAACGCTGATATAAATTTTATTTTTATATTGTACCCACCCCCTTCCTCCCTCCCGGACCACTGTGCAATTACTTTTTGGGATGGTTGAGGTATTTTTCGGACTCAAAAATTTCCAAATCCTATCAAACTTGCGTTAAGCTTGGTTTTGTTTATTTGCACAGTAATCAAGACCGTCTATCTCACGGAGTTCACCATAACGTGACGAATGAATTAAAAGAATCACATACCGCTAGATATAAAAAAATACGATAAACCGATGGCCGACGGCGATGGTTATTTTTATCTACGTATTACTCCTGTAAAAGACAACAGCACTTTTCGATGTCCATGTCGATTTAAATTCCACTGTGCATTGTTTTATCTTTGTTTTAAATCAAACACAATCCAGTAAAATCCGGGGTGAAAACATTTCCATTCAAAGTTTTATAGGACAGCTTATTCAACATTCTAAGCCATTTTGTCATACCGTCGAATATTGAATAAATTGCAATTTTCATCACTCACATCTCATTATCTCATGTAGAGCAGGTGGCTTAACAATTTCACCAAGCCGCACACCAACAGAGGAGACTGAAGGCATATAATATTTCCTCTTCAACTTACCACAATGCCATCATCCGTCTTGCCAACGTCGGGCAGGTTAAATGAACCGTGCTTTCTGGAGAAAAATTTCGCAAAACACGCCATTAGACTTGCCTCCGTCTGTCTTTCGCTGCGTAGCCGCTGTACAGATTCCCTCTAGGGTGCTGTGATCTTGAATCCGCTGCAAGCCCGCCCTCCAGCGCGGAGATTGATTTTATTTATTCACCCTTGAATGAGCACGCCCGTTGATTCATAAATTTTAATTTATTTGCTCTGCTACCCACGTTCTCGCCTCGAAGGGAATATTCGTTTATCTTCACTGATGCACTACGGCAGGCAACCGAACCATCATCACATTTTATCCTAAGATTTTCTTCAGCTCAAAACACAGTTTTTTTTTGGGAATTTAAAGAATTCGTTACTTCCTTATTACCATTAGCCCGAGAACAATGACAATTTCAAGCGACGAGAAAAATTTCCGATTGAACGTTCGATCGATGCGACTCCCCGGGGGCAACTGCCCATCGAGGAAACAAGTGAAACACGCAACCATTCGCGCCTATCAGCTACCTGCCACGGGTGCGAGACGAAGGGCTACTTTACACTCAGTCTTGGTCACCACGAAGTCTATTATCAGTTGTTTCAACAGCATGATGACAACAACGACGGCAGTCGGTGGAGAACGTATATCACTTGCTGATAAGAGGAACGCGACCCACCGAAGCAAGGTGTAATACACCTCATCAACGACACCTTCCCCCCTAGACTGGTCCCAGGGTAGTGATTCTAGCAGCAACGAAAACTGTACGCCTCAAATTCTTGAACCAGTCCACCCCTTTGGCACATTCGTGACCCAGCAATCGGAAAGTGTCTTGTGATCTCCACCGGAAGATAGCACTGAATCGAAATTCGACCAAAGTCGCTACCTGTTTACCTCCCGCCTATGATGGAAGTGGCAAGGGCAGACACACATCAGCTACCACACTGCAGAAAGAGGCTGCTGCAATTTGGCTAATTAAATTCCATTGGGTTCTTCCGTTATGGCACGGAACTTTCATGTTTTGGATACTCCCTTCCGATAAAAGATGGGGGCTGTTGATTGATAGGTAGTTCCTGTTCAAGAGTTCGTTGAAGATGGAAAAACATGTACCGTCAGTTGGTGATTACAAAAACAGCGTGCGAGTTACTTCAGTTGCTGCCTATGAAACATGTAAACTGCACTTGAAAAATCAGCTAAAGCTTTTGATCAGCCATTCCATAGCGAAACGATATAGTGGTTCTCAGAATTTCGTCAAAATTAGTAGTTTTGTTCCTTGTCGTAAAATAGTATACCGGTATTTTGTTATTTTGTCGTTAAAATGACCATTTCCATGGCCCAAAAAAACGATTATTTTTTTCAAAAATTACTTTTTTCAAAAGTATTTAACTCTTGACCCACTGTAATGATTTTAAAGATAAAAATATCTTATGCAAGGTAATAAAAAGTAATTTTTAGGAAAAATGTAATCAAATAAAACATTGTATTTTGTTTTGAAATACATTGATTGTATTTGTTTTTATCGTTTTTATGGTTTGTAGACAGAGGGCGCAATATGATTTATATTATTTTTGGTTCTTTTACACCACATATAAAAAAATCAGCTATGTGTTTTTGAGTTTTATTTTTAAATTATCAAGTTTTGGGTATTGACGGCGCCGGTGGAGTAGTGGTAAGCGTGATTACCTCTCACCCCAGCAGGCCTGGGTTCAATCCCAGTCGGCGCCGCCGGGATGTTCTGAGGCATAACATCTCTGATCACGCCTTCCTTCGGATGGGAAGTAAAGCCGTTGGTCCCCGGTTCATGAGTTGATGGGTCGATAGGTAGGGTCCAGGTGTGGGAGCTGCCTTCCTGGTACGTCGGTAGCATTGGTGCTCAGATCGACGGAAAAAAACAAACCAAAGGAAAAAAAAAAAAAAAGTTTTGGGTATTCAAGTCTATAACCGCAGAAGCAGAAAATAGGTAGGGGAGAATGGTATACAACGCACCCCCTGGGCAGAACGCACCAGCGCATCATTCTCTGCTTGTTCGTCAAGCAGTACAGTCCGGTATTTGCTCGCTCTGTCGAGTTGTTCGATAGTTATTCCAAACGTTTATTCGCGTCGTCAGTAGTGTCGGTCGCATCGTGTGATGGGAAGACAGCGCTCCCGGAGCAGGCTCCGTGAGAAAGCGGAAAAGAACAGTGGTGAGTGTAGCACGAGTGTACCTATTTCAAATAGGTACGATACTCTTCCCACCGATGTTGGAAATACCACCTCCGCCACGGTGAAGCGATCCAAGAAGAGGAAGAAAAACCAAGGCCAGTCCGATGGTGCGAGTGGACGTGATGACGTCACAGCAACGAACGTCAGCGACATCGGTGATTTCGGCGACACCATCGACAACGAAAATTCTGCCGGCCCGAGTGCGGCAAAAGTGAAGCTACCTCTATTGGTAGTTAAAAATGCTCATCTTAATGAGCTCATCGCGGATCTAGCGACGCTGGGCGTTAAAGCCGAATACAAGTTGGGCAGAGTCGGCACCAAGGTGGTGCTCCGTACCAAAGCGGAGTATGACTTGGTCGTCGCCCACCTGAGGACTTCCAAGGTGGAATTCTTCACCCACGACATTCCCGGTGAGAAACCATTCAAGGTCGTCATCAGGGGCCTACCAAACTTCGACCCGAAGTTTATCGAAGCTGAAATTAGGGACCGGTACAAGCTGGCCCCAAGTGCCGTCTATCGGATGACAAGAAGAGACGAGAATGTGAAGGCGTATCCGGATTGCCTTTTCCTGGTACATTTCCAGAAGGGAACGGTGACGCTCTACGCGCTGAAAGCCATCCGCTCCATCAATTGCATCATCGTCCGCTGGGAGCCATACCGTGGCGGCCATCGCGATGTGACTCAGTGCCAACGGTGTCTAAACTTTGGACACGGCACCCGCAACTGTAACATTAAGCCACGCTGCGGCAATTGCGCTCAAGACCACGCCACTTCCGACTGCCCTGCGGATGAAGCCGTGGCGTTAAAATGCGCCAACTGTGGTGGTGCTCACCAAGGTTCCGACAGACAGTGCTCCAAACGCGAGGACTTCAAACGCATCCGAAAACAGGCGGCAGTTAACAACCAACCAGGACGCAAGAAGGACAAAGTCCCGGCATTTCGGACGGAGGATTTCCCGCCTCTTCGTGCTCCTCAGCAAAGGCAAGCGAATTCGCGGGTGCATTCCGCTCAAGTAACTTCTGGTGATTCTACTGGCCAAAGCTCTCCATCCCCCCCTGGATTCTGGAGACAACCACCAGCGCAAAACAACAACCCCGATCTGTTTTCAGCGGATGAACTGATGGAAATTTTCGTCAACATGACCGGTGCTCTACGTAAGTGCCGCAATAAGCCCGAACAGATCCAAGTGCTCGGTAAGTTCATCATCCAGTATGGTGTCTAAACCGCTAACCATCGCTACTTGGAACGCTTGCTCTGTAAGAGCAAAACAGATTGAGCTTGCCGACTTCCTCCGCAAGCATAGCATCGACGTGGTTCTTCTAACCGAGACCCACCTAAAGTCCGGTGACAGCTTCTGGTTGCCTGACCACAACATTATCCGGCTTGATCGCACCAGCTCCAGGGGGGGTGGTATAGCGGTCATCGTCAGAAAGGGAATCAAGTTTTGCACTCTGCCCCACATCCGCACTTCTATCATCGAGGCCGTTAGTGTGGAGGTGGAATCACCAACTGGAAACGTCCGGTTTATCGCTGTTTACTGCCCACGCCAGTGTACCGCAAGCAATGGACTAGGAATCCAATTCAAAAAGGACCTGACCGCTATCACCCGTACTAGCTCCCGATTCATCGTTGGGGGCGACCTGAACGCCCGCCATGAAGCTTGGAGGAACTACCAGAGGAACCGGAACGGATGTCTATTGTTCGACCACGCACAACATGGTCTGTACACTGTGCAATTTCCGGACGAACCAACTTTCATCTCTCCGGCGGGAAATCCCTCCACGCTGGACTTTTTCCTGTCAAACATCGGACTATCCAAGCCGGAGGCGCACAACGATCTCAGCTCCGACCACCAACCGGTGGTGACTGAAGTCGGTGTCAATGTGGTTCCTGCTAGAAGCTGCCTGCGTAAAGACTACCACCATGTCAACTGGGTGCAGTACGGACGAATGGTGGACAGCAACATCGATGAAAATCCACTACTCAACACCGTAGATGACATCGACCGGACGTTGGAAGGGCTCCAACAGGCCATATCCATGGCTGACGAGGCATACGTTCGACAAGTTCCTGTGAGGGGTAAGTTTGTTGCTATTGATTCCCACACCCAATTACTGATTCGGTTGAGAAATGTTCGTAGACGCCAGTTTCAGAGGACTGGAGATCTGGGCAAAAAACGTGAAATGGCCGATCTGAATAGGCAGATTGCTTCCAGAATGGACTCACTCCGAAATGAAAGTTTCGGGCGTGTTGTCCAGAATCTGGATGACCGCTCCAAACCATTCTGGAAGGTAGCCAAGGTCCTGAAAAATCATCCCAAACCCGTTCCACCTCTCAAAGTCGAAAATGATGACGATCGGCTTTTAATTACCCCACAGGAGAAAGCAAATGCGATCGGCGAGCATGTCGCTTCATCGCATTTGCTTGGCTCGACTATCCAAAGTCCGCTCGATGATCAGGTTGCGCAATGCGTTCAAAACCTAGATACCTCCCCTTGTGTCGTGCCTCCGGCGGATATGATTACAGTACAACAAATTTGCTCAGCGCTGAAATGCACCAAGAACATGAAGGCTCCCGGGTTTGACGGTATATTCAACTTGATCTTGAAGAGACTCAGCATGAAAGTGCAGTCTCTTCTAACCGCTATCTTCAACAGATGTTTGGAACTGCACTACTTTCCAAGCATCTGGAAAGTAGCAAAAATCATACCAACCCGCAAACCCGGTAAGGATCCAACATTGCCTTCAAGCTACAGACCAATCAGCCTCCTTTCAGCGCTGAGCAAATTGTTCGAGAAACTCATTCTCAATCGTTTGCTCAAGTTTGTGGAGGAAAGCAACATTCTCCTTCCGGAACAGTTTGGATTCAGAAAGGGGCACTCCACCAATCATCAGCTAGTACGGGTGATGAATAACATCCGAAGTAACAAAGCTGTATCCAAGTCCACAGCCATGGCCTTGTTAGACGTTGAAAAGGCGTTTGACAATGTTTGGCATGATGGACTTGTGTACAAGCTTTGTAACTTCAACTTTCCTTTACATCTTATTAAAATCACCCGTAACTACCTCCAGCAAAGGTCGTTTAAGGTATCGTTGAATGGTTGTCTCTCAGACACGTTTTCGATCCCAGCAGGAGTCCCGCAAGGTAGTCTGCTGGGCCCCTTGCTTTACATCATTTACACTTCCGACATTCCTCCCCTCGGTGACGGTTGCGTGTTTTTCCTGTTTGCAGATGATACCGCAATAGCCGTCAAAGGAAGGATGCCTCGCGAAATAACGAACAAACTTCAACGATGCCTTAACGCCTTTGCTGATTATGCCACCACGTGGAAAATCAAAATCAATGCCACCAA